TACGCAGTTATCTAATGGCACTATCCTGGAAAACAAATTAAACAGTTATCCAATGGTGTTTTCCTGTGAAAACAAAAATACAAAAAAAAACCTGAAATGCATAGTTATCCAATGGCACATTTTTATTAGTTGACGGGAAAGCCCATATGCTTAAAAACTATAGATACTCAGGTGCAAAAGAACTGTCAACTGACTGGCTGAACCCTAAGGTATTCTTGTGTGCAATTACAAAGATTTTGTACGCAAAAATTATATCCCTTTCAGTAGCTATGCGTTTATTTTTCGAGTAGTGAAGTGTCATCGGATAACTGTTAAAAAAACAAACAGTACTAGTTACGATTTTTCTCCTATGAAGCTAGCACACCATTCCAGACTTATCTCCATACAGCTGAATTATATTCTTTTATAAAGCCAGCATAGGCTTTCAGAGTTAACTCATCTCCATACAGCCGAATTATATTCTTTTATAAAGCCAGCATAGACTTCAGAGTTACCTTATCTCAATAAAAATAAAAAGTAAAGATCCGTTTTCACACCTTTAGGTGCATCGGGCATATGGGAAGAGCACCTGTATTTTTACAGACCAATCGGCATTACACTGGCCGTCTTTACTCATCCAGAACATACATCCTGGTAAACATTTTAGACTGGGCCAAAATGTGAAGCCCCATACCATGATAAAAATCCACGCAGCCAGCCAGCAGTGGGTTTCAATCACGATACGTTGGAATTACGAATGGGACTCGCAACGCCTAAGCCACGGACGTCGCTCTCATCTCCACACAGTATCTTATAAGGCTGACATGCATGTGGTGAATTTCTGTCGTGGAGAACAATCGGTTTATCTTCATCTATTTTTCTTGCTTGAACGCTTGTTTGGGTAAAAGGGATCTCTGATAAGAAGTACTATTTCTTGGTTTCCGGTGAGTTTTCCTTATCAGGTCAGTACTTCTTCTTCTGTACACTCTGGCGGAAAGTTCTGGTTGCTCATCCACTACTGAACTGGAGTCCTGCTACAGAACCTGGGTGTTGCGTGTGCATCAGTTTTACAGATATCATTCTCTTGAATACAGACTGCTGGTTCCTTGCCTCTCTGGTAGATGCACTCCGACTTCAAAGGAAGCTCCCCAATTAGTCGACTCTTACGACATGCTTTTTGGGAGGCAGTGGGTCTATTCTTGTTTTCCCCACAATGGGGCCCCGGAACCCACACGGGGGAGGTCAGTACTGTAATCAGATTGTTCTCTTATAAAGCTGGCAATCGCAGACTTATTTCAGAACAGAGATCATGGTCAGTAAAAGCTGCAACTCTTGGCCTCATCGCAGAAATGATACACTGTCATTGGTTCATTTCTAATACAACTGTTTTTGCATAATAGTTAATTTATAACAAATTCTTTTGACAGTTTATTTCCAACATAATATGACCCGTGACAGTCAAGTTTTTATCACACTATGTCTTATGATAGTCAATTTCCTTCACACAATGCTTTGTGATAGTCAATTTCCAACATGCTATATCTTGTGATATTCAATTACCAAAAGTGTCTTACATCTATTTAAAAAATCTCCCCCCCACCTCTTTCCCAAACTACATCAAGTCCGACACTGTCAAAAGCTTAAGTAGTTAATGAATGAGCTCAGATCCCTGCTACACCAAACTCCCACACACAAGCACTAACCCATTAGCTAGCACACCATTACAACAATGAAAAACCCTCATACAGATCAGTGGCACAACAACAACAACAACCAAATAAAAGAAGACATTACAATGCCTGCCACCTCTACAACTACAATTACAGCTGTTGGTGTCAAACATATGTACACATGTGGCCATACCCATAATTAAGACAACTATAAATAAGATTAATAATGTTCTAAATAGCGCCAAGAAAAACAACAGGCCACAGCTCTACTGGCATTTCTATGAAATACTCTGGCTATAATTTGCTGTTTTATTTGGCTAAAAAATCAAACGCTCTACATCTTAAAGAAGCTAGCCTTCGGTAAAAGAAAAAAAAAAAACAAGGTACCTCAAAGTAAGTCTTGTTTCCCGAAAATAAATTCCCAAACATGAATAAATATGAAAACAGTGGGTGAGACGTAATAATGTGCTACATAAGTTAATAACCAAACTAAGGAAGAGATTATGTGTGGAGAGGCAGGAGCAGGGGAGCAAGTCTGCAGCAGAAAGAACAGTGGTGATAGTGATTATGTTTAATATCTCCACAGAGTTTTCTCGATGAAAGACCTCGGTGCATCAAGGAGAACACTAGATAAATAGTTCAAATCCTTTCATAACTGAAGACAGAAAAGAACAGTAACAACAGAACAGTAATCTTGGTTTCATACAAACTTTCAGAACAATAGAATCAACGTGTCCTGTCTGATGGACTTTTTCTGAGAACAGAACAGGATGGCATTTATATGCAATAACTGCCCACCTGGCTCTTCTTGCTGCACACTTTCGACAATGTCGTAGGCACACGGACAAACTGAGACCATCTACACTGTCGTACAACATACGAAGAAACTGACGTGCTTTTAACAGTGTTGCACAATTAATGTGGAAAATACGACACTTTCAATGTTACATGGAAATTAACATATTTTCAACGTTACTCAGAATTTAAGATGTTGTATAATAGGTGGAAATTACGACACTCTCATTCTTGCAGTGCAATGAATGTAGAAATTAAGACACTTTAAACAATGTTGCACAATTAGTGTGGAAATTTAAGACATTTTCAACAAGGTTGTACAATACGTGGAAATTACGACACTTTCATTCTTGTAGTACAATACAATCAATGTGGAATTTAAGACACTTTAAACAATGTTGCACAATTAGTACAGAAATTAAGACAGTTTCAACAATCCTGTACAACACATGTGGAAATTACGATATCTTCAACCATGTGATACATCAAATGTGCAAACTGCAGACAAATTAATCAATCTGTTAGACAAAAGGCAAAAAATGAGTAGAATAAATGTAACCAACTGAGGTAAATATAGATGTCATTATCAGCTCAGCTTCTAGAACTCTGCAGACACAAAACTATGCTGTTACTCTCCATGATTGGGAGTTAATATCAGACATGGCCAGCTGTGACCCATTCAGTATTTGGCAAATAAAAATGAACAAAACGAAACAGATGCTAACAATAACTTTGGATATTTGTTAGGGAAGAGCACCCCCACATCAGTGAAGAGGCAAACTACATGAAGTGGCTTTCAGCATACTTAAGGATGTTGGTACACCAGGACTAGGGTACAAACTAGTCCAGATCTAACTACACCTATTCGTGGTTACCTTTGAACAGATTCCTAAATGGGAGCGTGGTCTATGTTGGTAGGATCAATATTTCCTTTCAAACCGGTGCTTCTGCCTGAGAGGCATGCAACCAACAGTCTGCATGCAAATAAGCCAGGCGTGTAAAGGGGATGCACAAGCAAAACTTAAGTTCTGGAACAAGACTTCAGTCCACAAATGGGCGAACAATCATAACTTTTGTCCGGAGCTCACACGAAAAAGAAGAAGTATAATCAGAGATACTAGCTTTATTGTAACAAGAAAATAAGTGTCGATTATTTTATCCATGACCTGAAAATTACATCAAAGTGCAAACTTGACATTAAGAGAAAATAGCAGGTTAAAAATAAACATTCTGATCTGGATGTGTTTGTACCATTTTCTCCAAATCTCTTTCTTTTGTAAAAGTTATGGAAGGTATAAAAATGTGCATACAAAATATCACATCATGTTCCTGTCACTAGTCAAGTCTACAGAATTATAAACACCAATGCACATATACACACACCAGCCTGGCTAGATACACAAGCACTCTGAGATTATGAATGTGCACTCGGTTTCTTAACTTCATCTCATACTTCATTCTTCTACGAGCAGTATAAAATCAAACTACATGAAGAGAAAATAGATCAGATGTGTTCTGACTGCTATCAGAGAGTGCACAACAGAGAAGCCTGACACTTTGACAGAACATAAGCAGTCTAGAGGTGGCAGATTCAAGTTACGGATAGACGGACTATCTGAGGTTGTGAAAACCAGCATCTATGTAGTTCACGCTAAGGAATGCACCAGAGAGTCATTCAAAACGTGACGCTGAAAGGCAAAACTAGATCTGGAGAAAAGAAATAAAGAATAACCTCTTGTACATGTATGTACGTACTACAAATGTGTGTGCGCATGCATTTACCATCTTTGCATTTGTGTGTGTGTTTTTTTGGGACATGATATTCATGTTATGCATATTGTTATGTGTACATGACATATTTTACAGTCTGAAAGATGAGTGTCCGGAAGGGCCGAATGTAAGATGGGCCTGCATACCCAATTTGAAAGTAAAGATTATTTGTTCGTTCATTCTCTAACTTTCCTGTTATCACAATATACTTCAGCTCCCTAACCTCACAATGTGCCCAGATAAGGTGGACTACTTTCTTCCAATGTGAATAAGAATGACAGAAAAGAATAACATAACAAACAAATATTTTAGGTCACTGTGACACAGACACACATCTCATGAGTCATTTAGTCGCGAGAAACATAGACCTGGCAATATATCCCTAACACACCAAACTGATATATAAGCAGCTATTATATTCCATATGCTAAAACAGGAAACATTATTCTCTTTTTAATTAAACAATAAGTTTAAACTCTATAAATCTTAACATGGTTTTGTAACTCGGATGTTTATTTTGTATTCTTTTGTTATTTTAACGTCACAGTTTTGTGAATGCTGATATCAAAGCCTAGCTGTGAACCACAACAATGCACTTTTAAGGGCAAACCCAGAAGAGGAACGAGAACAGCACTGTATCTTTCTACAAATTTACACACTGAAACAGGCAGGAAGCCTCCGGACATTCCCAGAAACTGCCGGTGAGAAGAGAAATCATTGTTCACATTCATGACCGCACACAGAGGCAAGCAATAAAATATGTTTAAGCTACACAACAAAAGACAACTAAAAAGATCTCTTTGACAACTGATCTGTGCTAGCTGTTCTTCCTCGTACACTGAGGTCCCCACTGCTCTGTATGCTGAGGTCTCCCACTGACCGCCGACTTTCCTGCAATGAAACAGTGAAGCAGACAAGTTGCTACAGGTGGCGCATTAAGTAGAAGTATATCATATGGAAATTTATATCTGTCCTCTTACCTATGTGTAATCTGTGTGTAAAACAGTGTTTCACAGAGATATATCTTTGAATAAATGTAAACAGGTGAATAACTGTCGACAGGTGAGTAACCATAGACAAGAAAGTAACTGTAGAGAGGTGCATAAGAGTGCTAACAGTTGAGTAATAAAGTAGACAAGTGAGTAACAGTGTCTCCAAGTAAGTAACAGTAAACAGTGAAAACGACCAGAACTTACATGTAACTTGTCATCACTATTGCTGATTATGTTGAGCACCGACGTGGAGCTTGCCCTTTTCATACTGCAATGAAATAAGATTACAAATGACAATACTGACTTTCAACAGAACACACCTCAGCCAAGCCTGAACCTAACAAGTTCACAGAACCAGAAAATGAAGTGTAGCCAACTCGGCAATGATTCCTATTGCTTTCATTACAATTTATAGAAAATAAAGTCTTATCACCAAACAGATTTTTTGGAGAGAAAACAAAAAGGAGAAAATCATAAGTGTTTTCCCACTGTAAATCTGAACATAGAAAACAAATAATAATACAATAATAATATACAATTTATTGCCAGGCACATTTCGCTGTAACTCCTCAACCGCATGCTACCATAACAATTACATAAAATGATGCAAACCTGTTGTCTGTCTTCCATGTTGAAATTCAGAAAAAACCAGCCATAAAATACACAACAGTTTTTCAGTGGACATTTTTTTTCATGCTTTCACATTAATAAATTTGCATACTGACATAAATATTGATTACTTTATACAAAAATCTACATAAACACATTTTGCAATGTGCTCATTTTGATAAATTCTCAATATTATATTTTCAAAATCACTTGAGGAAAAAATATCGTCATCATCATCGTGTAGGTCGTCCTTTTCAGAACGTCACTCTGATCACGGACTGAAAGAAACTGGGTCTCTTGTCAGATCTCCAGCCTCATGCACTTTTTCATACCCAAGCAGTGGCCTATGTCCTGTGCCCATCTTCTTGCTGGTCGGTCCCTATCCCTCCTTCCTGGTGCCATGACATCAATTTTTTTTAAAAATCCCCCATGGCACTTGATATGGTCAAAATATTTCAGTTTCCGAAACAAGATGCTGTTTATTAGCAATTCTTGCTCGATGTTCAGATCTTTTAGGATGTCAGCATTTCTTGTCTTCTTTGTCGATGGTATTCTGAGGATCCTTCTATAGCATTTCTTTTTCTACTTCTTTGTTCACTGGCTGTAAGCTCTGGCACAAAGTCCTGGCTGTTCGTCCATTTGGACTGTAGCTTTAGGCCAGGGCCCTAGTTTTGCATTTAGATCCGTTTTACTGGCTTATTAATGTGTGCAGTTGTTTGTTCCTTGGCACTCCGGCAGATGCACTCTGACTTTGAAGGAAGCCCCCAATTAGTCGACTCCTACGACATGCTTGTTGGGAAGGCAGAGTGTCTATTCTTGTTTTCCCTAAAATGGGGCCCCAGAACACACATGGCAACTAAAGCATTTCCGTTCAAAAGACCCTATTTTCCTTAATCAGGAATCTCATTGATATACTCATCATAATTCTAGTTAAAAAAATTAATTATTATACTGTTAAAAAATGCGTGAGAATTCATGAACTATCTTTCATAATACGTTTTAATTCTGTGTTGGCTTCACAATGAAGCTTGGCTACACTGTACTCACTGTTGACTTTGGGGATATAATGTGGTGAGGCCCCAATCTCTGCCATGGTGCGACTCTTATACCACTGTCCTTTAACAAGGAGAACATTGCCTTTGTTTAAATAATACAGTAGTTATATATCTGGAGATCCATGTGTGGGTTCTGGGGCCCCATTGTGGGGGGAATTAAGAACAGACCCACTGCCCCCCTAATATGCATGTCGTAAGAGTTGACTAATTGAGAGGAGGGGGGGGGGGGGGAATTCCTATTATAAAAATCTAAATTATTAGGAAAATAACAATACTTAATCAGCACAATAATAAACAAAGCTCTAAGAAAACTTTATATCCAATATCAAGGCATATGCTACTGCACAGTGTAGGAATATACTCCATTCAAGTATCATTGTTTGTTTGTTTTAGTATCCAGAAGCCATGAGTTGTTAACCCTTAGGCTCGGTATTATGGATATCGCAGCCTTTTGGCCTTGATTCCATTGTAAATACCGTAAATCTGGGAGAAATGTGGCTTTTCTGCCTACCCCCAGACCACAAGGAGTTCGTCACCCGGTCACCGCGCAATCCGGTTTAGCCAACTATGCTAGAGAGCCGGGCTTTAAGTATCATTAAAGAGAGATAAATAACAAAGAATAAAGTATGCTCAGGAAGAACAATATAGGCTGAGTTTGAAGACAGCAACAACCACAATAGCTGGCAGATCCTAGCTGGCCAAAAATCAGCTCAATTGTTGTTGCAGGGCCATGCAGGTGTAGGAGGAAATAAACAAGCTCATAGGCATGCTGGCAGTGTTGCTATGGAAAGCAGAGGAGCAATGCAGCGGGGTGATATAATGAATGCCCTTAGAAAGGAGCCAGAGCAACTAAATGAATGAAACGACTAGAAATCACCAATCCTGACCAGAATAGAAGAGCCTTATGTCAACAACAACAACAAAAACAGCATGCAGAAAGCCACAGAAGTATGAATAGTAAACCAACACCGAACAGATGTTGCCAGAAGTGAGAATGACACTCTAGATTGGATCAAAGAACTTCTGGACTGAATGGTTCAGCGCCCACTGTGGATAATCTGGTGGCTAACTAGCTAGCTTACAGTGTCACAATAATGGCGTAGGGTGAAAACACTCTGTGAATCTCTTTGACTGTTACAGAATTATACTGACTGTGCTTCACAATTTGACTTTCTGCAGGACTATCTTCTGAAGAACTTGTTTCATCATTGTTAAGCTTCATAATTAGGTTAGTTGCGTATCCTTTACAGGACGTTGCAGAACCAACCCCAAAAGCCCCTGGCTGTTGTGCGGTTTTTCTAGGCAAATTTACATCCAGTAGTTTTCCATTGCTTTCTGGATACCACTATCGAAACCAGCGCAAGGCGCACGGCCCGCAGCTGGGATCGAACCCGGCATCCCGGCATTAAGAAGCATTCGCATCGACTTAGCCACAGGGCCGACAAGCTTCATAGGCAACAAGAAAATATACAGATGCATAAAGTTGGGATATCACAGTGCTGGCTTACAAGTGAAGGCGATCTACATTCAATCCTCTGATGGGCTGTTTAACAGTACTGCCTAAGATTAGGAAACAGCAACAGACAGGCACATTCAAGAAACCCCATTCAACTGTATAACACAACTATATTAGGGCACCCTCCTTATGTGGGGGGGGGGGGGGGGGGGGGGGATAGACCCAGTGCCCCCCAACAAACATCTCATAATCTCATAAAAGGCAAATAATTCCTTTGAAGTCAGAGTGCATTCCCCTGAGAGGCGAGGAAGCAAGTCTACATACAAATAAGCCTGATCTTAAAAAATGGATGTGCACGCAACACTCAGGTTCTGCAACAAGGCCAAATTTCAGAAGTGGACCAACAACTAGGACTTTCCTCTGGAGCCTACAGCCAGTGAATGCTAAGGTAAAACAGAATAAGTATTAGGGTACGCAACGATTACTACATAACTTGCAGTCCAATATGGATGGGTGTCTAAAATCCTGTTGTAATACTGATGTGTGTAATATGCAGCACAGATTAATTTTGTAATGTGCAACATACATTACATTTGTAATGTGCAGCACAGATTACATTTGTAATGTGCAGCACAGATTACATTTGTAATGTGCAGCACAGATTACATTTGTAATGTGCAGCACAGATTACTTTGGCTCTCCTTTAAATAACGGTCGCTAGCTGGAAGGCGACGGACGCTTATTCGGAGTTCACTCCCCTGGCTGCAGTGCAATTACGGAGCGGACAAGTCACGAATAAAAAAACAAAGTGGGGTCAACATGCCTGCTACAGCTAGACCACGCGCTGCGACTGACAGTAGCGACCGCGGTCTTCCGACGCAAGACTCTCGTAGACCAAGCGCTGCGACTCACACTAGCGACTGCGTTTTTCCGATGCACGACTTAATGACCATAGATGTGAGACCTTCGGATCTGTATGTCCTAATGAGCGATAAGCTTCCGTTGTTTCCGTGATGTGTCACCCTAACCCTAACCCTAACTCAACCCCTAACCCTACCCCAAATCCTAACCCAAACCCTAAGCCTAATCCTAGGATGACAGGTAACTATATCATTTGTTTCGTTTCCTCTTTACCACTCTGTATTTGCACTGCAGCCAAGGGAGTGAACTCCGACTAAGCGGCCGTCACCTTCTAGCTAGCGACCGTTATTTAAAGGAGAGCCATTACTTTTGTAAGGTGCAGCACATATTACTTTTGTAATGTGCAAGATTACATTAGTAATGTGCGGCACAGATTCTGCTGGGAGTGGGCAGAGGGTATGGACAATTTGCTACCTGCAAGAGAAAAAACAGGCAAACTTTTTAATCAGGTTGCAGCTGGCTCATCCGTATCATCGGCGACCGGGTCGCCTATAGGCTGGACAGTAGAAGACTTTGTTGCCAGTGGAGACAATATCTGGGTCTGTCTCCTCAACACTGCATGAGTCCTATTCACGGCTATTTGGTGGCGACTTGTGACATTTATCCCACGTTTATCACACCGAGCAATTATTACCCTGTGACACAAAGTGTCACAGACTTCCAGTCAAAATGGACGCTAGGCAGCGGCACTGTTCGAAGCCGAGGCAAATTTTTTGCTTTTGCCGGTCGGTGGCCGATGCATTTTTTCTCCATTTGTAGACTGGATATAGTTTCGTCGCCCAGCTTCTGAGTTGAATGCATGGCATGACACTGTGAGCTGCGGATTTCATTTGGAATGTTTTTTCGACTGTGACCAATGTGGTGCTGTGAATTGTAGATTCAGAAAATGGTGCAATGCCTGTTGTGCAATGTTGGTAGTGCCCGTATGTGATAAAAATTGATCGTGTGGGCAACTGCTGATCTGTTGGTGACTTATGCTACCATCAATGATGAACTGCATTTCTAATGACAGACTGTTTGTGTTAGCACTTTGGATGGCTACCGTATGCTTTAATGCGAGTGTATGCTAGATATGCTGAGACAGCAGTCTGTAAATCTTTCCACAAGGGACTGTGATAAACATTCTGTGTGTTTTTCGTTGGCACAGGAGCGGAGCAAAGATGGGGTAATCCGTTTGCTATGAAGCTGAAACTAAGACTACCAGACCAGACCAAAGTGTGCCCACTC